TAACTGAAAATAGCATAGAATGGTCGAAATATCTCGACTCCCGCTGTCGAGTGCGCAGATGGCGTCTCTGCGACGTGGAAAGAAGGTGCATCGCGAAACTGAAGATGCCACTAGACCCATTGCTAACAAGGCTCACACTGTAGAGGAAAAACAGGCTATTCTCGTTTTGCATGCTAGTTTACGCGTGGATAATGCAAATATACCTCGAAAAGAGTCTATTATGAACAAAATTGATCGTTTATTCGATTACTCCAACAAGACATGCGGTGAGATTTGGTCCTCGTTTCTATCACAGGGAACTGTGTTTACGGCAGCACAACGGACTAACCGAGGAGAGAGAATTGCACGACTGCCGAAGTAGCCACTAATAAGAAGCCCTGTGTGGATTGATTCGGAGCCGGTATGAGACGAGGACAAGATCGACCGCTAAAGGTAATTCATTTGTAAGCAGAAGAGAACTGCCTGACTGTGGATATGATAAGTACAGAAGCCAAAGCCGCCCTTTGAACTGTGCAACGGCTCATAAAAATAAAAGGGTACACCCACCGTACCCAAAATGACAAGAACCTCAAACTATCACCATCCAATGATTGTCTAGGGTGGGATATGTGCAATAAATGACCTCTCGTAAGATCTGTCTCGTCGTGCCGTCTACCCAGACGAACGCTACATACATCGCCAGCTATTGGAGACACTACTTTTCATTAGTCGACCCAACAGATGGTATAATACGCCATGGAGAAGCATAGGTGACGGCGTTTGGGCTTTATTGCCGCCATCGTCGATAGGAATCATTCTTTTCGTGATGAAGCAAGGCCGCCAGCGGAACTGCTACTAGACATCGTCGATAGTTTTGTAGGTGGTAACCAGAGCGTAGTCTATCATGGCCTGTTCTACCATGCTTATTTCGTGAACGGGATATATTACTTCAAGCGCTGTCTACCAGGGGTCTGCCAAGCTGTGTTTTTGTGATGGATAACGTCAAATACCGTAACGTACTACCAGAAACTACTCGTAAATTCCAGCCAACGCAGCAAAGGTAATATTGTGGGATATACTATCAAACCTCATCATGCAAAACGTATTTCCGGCGATAGTTGACAAAGCAAAATTAAAGGGCATGGAATCGTATTTACACCGCCCTACCATTCCGATTGACAGCCTGCTGTCCTTGTATGGGTAAGTGTTAAAGACGAGATTGGACGCCAGGATTCGACTAAGACTACTTTTGCAGATATTAAGCCCAGGCTTCAGCAGCGTTTGAAAGTGTTTGTTAGTGTCAGTACAAGGATGTATTGACACCGCCGATAAGCAATTGCCAAGGTCAAAGGCCGTCTTTAGACTATCGATTCCTGCGAAGTGTCTTATTCTGAAGACGAAAGTATGAAAATGAATCTGACTGAAACAAAAAAAGTAGATTAGCATACGATTGGTTATTTGGTGTCGTGTGTGTTAGGTACAGTAAAGCAGTGATTAAGCGCCTCTTTCAGAAATAACTATGAAATACCATGATGTGGTAGCATTAATAACGGTGATGGGAGGTGTCGAATATTATTCGCATTGTCCGATTTACAAAGATTTGCCGAGGCTTGTACCGCGGGTAAATAGTCGCCGGTACCCCCCTTTTCTCGCGCGGAAAGAAACGCTGGCATAAATAGATTATACCCGACGGGAGTCTAGATTATGGCGGCGTTGAAGCTGCACGCCGTTCTGTTACCAGGGATTTTTCCACAGATCTCTGCTCCGTTGCAGATTACATGAAAATTAGAGATCTACGAACACTTCTAAACTCCTTTCGATATCACTAACGCCACCAAAATGAATTTGATCTGGCGACGGTGCGTATCGCACAATCATTAACGTAATTACGCTCAGTGAACGTGACAGAGACTCATCTAGATGGCTAATCATTTGATTATGGAGGACCCGGAAGCTATGAACACAGTCTTGGTCTATCTTGTAAAAGAAACACTCGGGTGGTAGGTTGGAATAAAATTGAGGATGAT